CATATTACACATGCATTAAATGAAGTAGCCATTTGTTTTTGTCAGGTGTTGCTAGCTCTCCTTACTTCAGTACAGCTGAAATATGGAAAGTACAGTTTTATAGGATACTAGTATAGATTTTATTAATTTTGAATCATTTTTAATTTTTATATTGTTTTCCATTTTAGTTTATGTTTTAGTAATTTTGTTGTTTTAGTAATTTTCAGTAGTTTAAAAAAAATGTCTATATAGCTTTAACTCATTTCATTTCAGTTATTTTAGTGCATCACTTTAATTAAAATGAGAAATGTTACAAGCTCAAATAGTTTTTTTTATCATTTATTTTATATTTATTACAGTTAAAGCTTATTTCATTTCAGGTAATAATTTTTTTAGGGTTTTAATTTGAATTATTTAACTATAATAACACTGGATGAAAAACTCACTGTGATTTTGCCAGATTTTTGTAATTTGTTTTATAAATATCGGACAAAAAGTAGGGACACAACTGCGAATCCTTATATTGTACTACCTAGGCTAGCAGTAGTTAAAAAGACAGTTTTTTCTTAATATAATATTATAAATAAATAGAATAAGTAATATAATAATAATAATTGAATTTATAACCTTTTTAAAACTGTTTTTAAAATACATATTTTTCATAAATCAATTATTGAGGTTTGAGGATAGGTACTGTAGGTACAGGAGTGGCGAGTAATAATATAATGTCATAATTTTAATAAAATGAATACAAAATTAAATGGTATATTAATGTGAAGAACATTCTAGTGACCATCTCCGATTAAATCTAAAGAGAAAATGTTGCTATTTTAAAAACAAATTACAGGTAAAGTTGTGAGGCACTTTCAGTACGTTAAATTAACTTAACTTCACACCTTAGCAGTAAGGAAGGCCAGCAAAAATGTCTCCATCGCCATGTCCCTTTCTTCATTCTTGGGGTCCGCTGTGCTCAGCTGCACAACTTTATCTGGAAAATATAATCAACATATTAAGCAAACAGGTCTGGTGAAAAAATCCAATTACTCCAGACTACGAGTACCACACCTTTAATGACGGAGACATCGAAATCTGGACGTATGCAGTGACCATCCAAAACAGTCGACTGGAAGACATTTCCTCCCACATTTGAGGATTCCAGAATGCTGGTGACCACTGTGGGAAAACATTACATGCTCAATAGCACTTTCACCAATCATCATGTAAGGAATATTCACTTATCTAATAAAACAATACTCATTCTGCACCCTAGATCCAAGAAATGCAAAAGTGAATATTTAATCTGACATATCTATAGTCCAGCCAAACACTCACAGGCATAGTCATTGTCTGTCAGAGAGCTCATTGTACGTCTCGACGGTACGCTCTCCCTCGGCTTTCGCGGGTTGCTTACTCTGGGAGAGGCCGGTCTGGGCGGCATCAGCATCGACTGCTGCTGTACGCTGCTCTACAGAACACACCATATAAAACATCAACCCTCACATTCATATCAAATGCCACAGAGAAAGAGACACAGCAGCACAGATGTAGAAACTATGGAGACGTAACACACAGCTTCTTCCCATTATTTTGCTGTCAGTTACCTTTGCAGGAGCCTTTGTTTCAGTCTGCATGTACCTAGACTTCACAATTGTGCCCGACGCTAGAAATCAGTAAGATCAGACAAAACTGTTAGTAAAACAACCATGAGTTTTGACACTGAATGAAAGGAGGATGCAAGTCATGCGCTCACCTTTGGTTTTCCTCCTTGCACCGCTGTTATTTCCGCTGCTGGCTTCATTTTCAGTGGATAAACTAAGAAAAGAGAAGCTGTCTGAATATCCGCATACACATGAAGCTAAGAGTAAATTAATATAAAAAA